TATAAACTGTTGTATTATCTTAACCAAACTGCCCAGAGAAGGGTATAGTTGCTAAATAGTTAAAGCTACTATACTTCTCTCTTGGACACTACTATAAACCTGTAAAGGATCTCTGTAGCCATGTTATTGTTATAGTAAGGAGTTTAAAGAAGGCCTCTCTACTGTAACAATACAATAATAGAGAAATATAATATTTTAACATATTATTTAGCTTCTAATATTATTTATTATATTGAAACAACTGATGTATTAGTTGAAAATAATATTTTGAAATTGTTAAGAAATGAGAAGCAATATTTTAATTATTTTAGTCAAAAAAAATAATTAGAATGATTGTTGAACAAAATTAAATTGCAAAATAATAATAAAATTTAAATTTATTAAAATTAGTTACTATTAAATAACTAGAATTGATTAGTAGTATTGTAATGCTTATTTAACTTTTTTTTTTATTTTTTAATATTATAATTTACTTATGACCTAAGTTAGAAATTTATATTGCATATTTTCTTTAATTTTTTAGAATAAGATATAAACTTTGCATATTTGTCTTATAAAAGAGTCTTGTATACAGTAATTAATAAAAATTTTAAAAGCTATCTTATCTATATATAGATATTGCAGAGTCCTATCTGGATAATATGCATAACAAGATTATAGTTATTTCTCAAAATTTTTTCAAAAACAAGTTTTTTTGTTGAAAATTTTTATTTCATTTCTGTAATATGCTACAGATCAAACAAAAGCTTATCAGTAAACTATCAAAATGCTGATAGTTAATAAAAAGTTCTTAATTTTAATATGAAAGCATTCCAATGTATGTAACTGATATTATTCTGATTTGACATCTATTTTTTACAAAAATTTGGCTAATTTCAGGAACCTATTAGTAAATTTCTAAATCAATATTATATAAATATTAGATTATTAATAGACTTTTTAAGAATTTGATAGTCTTTTTAATTTTTTTATATTTTATATAACTGAATAAATTCTATAGACTTATTAGTTTAATTTTTAATGTATACTGGTTGCCAATATGGCTTTTTTTTTATTTATTTTATCTTTGTAATTTTATTAATCGCTACTTAAAAATTTTTTAAAGCAATAAATAACTAAATATATTTATTATTACTATAACATTATTTTTATTATATATTTATATATATATTTATATCACTATGCTAAAAGCAATAACAATCATCTATGTAACTATATACTAATAAACTATCTAACAAAAATACTATGCTTCAAATGTAATATCAATTAAACTGTTTAAATTAATTAATTGTCTTCTTCATTTTCATTACTATTATCATTTTTATCTTCAGTTCTTTCAATATAATTTTTATTAATATCAGCAGCTCTGCTGCTACTTATAGAGCATTTTTATCTGTTTCATCTTTTTTCAATTCATTTATTTTTTCTTCATCTCCTTTGTCAGAATGTTAAAAAGAAGAAATGGCTCAAGCAAAAGTATCTATTAATGGTTTTGATCTATCACACTACTGACTATTATTGTGTTATTGTTTTTTGATAAATTTAATATGCAAAATTTTTTCACCTATTTCATTAGCAAAACAAAATCTTTTTAATCTAATTTATATAAAATAAAGAAATAGAAATATAAACTAATATAATCATATTTATAATAATTATAATTATAACAATAACTTACTCCATATAATTTTTATAGTTTATTGTAAATATGAAATACATAATAGTTATTTACTTTTTTTGATTTCAGCCAAACTTTCATTTGATGTTTAGCTTGTGATTTTTTATACAGTTTCAGATATTTCATTCAAATGGTATTCACTATTATTAATAATTTCTTTAAGATCTTCTTTAAAATCATCCTAACTCATGAAAGAAACAAGATTTGTAAGTTTTTTATTGTTAGTATTAAGCATATAGTGTATATTTCTGATTTTTCTATTTTTTTTCTAGATTAATAGTAATTAATATCAGTTAATTAGTAGTAATTATTATTATAATATTGCAAGTTATTATATTTGTATTAATGATGCTTATAGTAAATACAGAATAAATTTTGTATAATACAAATATAATAACTTGCAAAGTGCTTATAACTTATTTTGATAAATCAAATAGGCCTATATATACTGATTGATATCTATTATTTACTTCTATTTTTTTTTATTTTTTACTAATTTCTTGAGATCATTATTAATTTTTTATTTTTTCTGATAATGTTAGTAAAGACTTTTTAGAGTATATTTTAATTTACTCAACTTATACTAAAAATTATCTTTCAAAGCCTTTTTGATTACTGGCATAGTTTTTGTGGCTATATTGTAAGAAATTTTAATAATAATAAAATAAATTATTTATTATGTTAAAATTTTATAAGATATTTAATTTTTTTTTTTTAATATTAAAATAAGTATATGCAACTTAAGATTTTATTAATAATATATATTGCTAATATCTGTTAACATAACAGATATAGAGGCAATTATAAAAAAAATGTACAACTAACCACTTATATAACTTTAATCATTGTTTAATTAAAGTAGTCTGCTTGAAGATTTTATACTAGTTACTATATCTAGAACTGCCTATAGATTTTTTATTTAAACACTTAAGATTCTATATTTATCAATAACTTTAATAAACTAGTAAAGATATTCTATAATCACTAAGTCATATTTAACTTTGTACTAAATCTATTGAATTTTTCTGTATCTTATATTTACAGCTAACCTGGTACTACTTTAACCTAAGTTAGTATTTGTAGTCAAAACTAATTATTAAATTGCTATACTTTTGTAAAGTTTACTAGAACTCTAATACTTATCTTTCTAATATCTTCTTCTTATTTTAAATTTACAAAATTTTCCAAACTACCAATTCAGATGATTTGATATAGTATTCTAAGATTCTTTTTCTTTAATAATTCTTGATAATCTGATTAATATATATTTTCTACACATATTTGTCATTTGATTCATTCTAATTGTTTCTTTTAAAACTTTTATTAGTTTGATAATATTGTCAAAAATCTATATTATCTCTTTATTTAAGATTTTCAAGTAGATTTTTATATTTTGATTTCTTAATCTTATAAATTTAATGATCTTATTGTAGATTTGCATTGAAGTCTTATTGATACTAATTATTTAACATTTCTTTACATATATACATATAACATTACACTTTACATAGATGCTCCAAACTCTTATTCAAAATAATATTTCTAAAATTACAGATTATTTTAATTCAACTAATTAACAAAACATAGTTACTATAACATAAGTATAATTTCTAAATTGTCAGTCATAAGATTTAAACACTAGACCTGCTACTTAAAAATTAACAACCTATTCACTTTACTAGATCACCACACTCTTTAACTAACTAATTTCTAAAAAATTATAAAAATTTTAATAATAAATTTTTATATCTAATCTTTAAAAATTCATATATTAATGAATTTTAAACCAATTTTAATAATTTTACTACTGTTAAAATTACAAAAACCTATACTACAACTTAAAAACTCAAAAAATATTTAATTTTCATAATTAAAATTACAAAAAATATACCATCAAGTTTATATATAATCACCCTGCCATTAATACAAAAAAAAAAAAAAAGATCAGCAAATCAAATTTTAATATTTTATAAATGTGCCATAATGATTAAATAAATTTTATTTAAATTAAAGTTTTTTGAAATTTCATCTATTCTTTAACATTTAATAATTCTTCATTAAAATTTAATTTCAAGTTAATTAATTTTTGATGTTTTTAAAATATATATCTGATATATTTAACGTAATTATATAAGAGTACTACTTTTCGCATCATAAATTTTGCTATACGCACTATGGATATAACTAAATAACTCCAAATAGATAAATAATCAAGTTACATACATACACCCATGATACGGATAGCAAAAATCTATGATGCATGGTAGTACCCAAAGTCACATGTAACCCGGAAGCCCTGTTCAACTACCATTCTCCTTGATGACATTAGGATCGTTGATATCTATAGATTTACTCTATTCCAGATCACTACCTGTGCTCGGCCAAATTGTCAATTTCGGGTTAGGGTTCATCGAAGTTGGGTAGCGTTAAACAATACCAGTCGACTATATAATAGCAATTATCAGAAGCATTTGAACTAATTTTAAGTAATCTTTGACAAAATTGGTTAATTTTGGCCCACCCGGGACTTCAATCCTGAAATTTTGGGATTCTCCTGTGTGAGTTGTCTAAGTTTGGCAAAGAGCAAATTACATAGATCAGGTAGTAATTGTAGTGATCGGATTCGAGTCAAGCAACACAGTCTTAAAAAATACTTATACGTCCTCATGTTGGGCACTCACAATGAAATGATCAGCTATTCATCTCCTTTACTAGTTACCGTGATCATGTTTATTGCTTCATCAATTATGATTGACTTGTTGTACATTAAGTTGAAGTAATTACCACACATAAAAGTATCACAACATTATGAGTCGAAATAAAATGCAAATGACATACAATTAAATACCATAGCATTATCCTTATATTTGCCGTAATTCCTTGAATTGACCGATCTAATTAGAGGTGCGGTAAAGACTACTATGGCTTGTAATGTAACTAAGCCATCAATCACCAGGATGACCTGATAGACGATCTGTGTCATGTTGTTCTAAAGGGTCTAACCTCTAATAAGGGATACCCATCTAATTAATAAACCAAACAGAATGCTGGCTATTAAGAACTGCGGTAATGATGATGAAGCCTGTCGAGAGTTCATTTTAAAAAGGTGAAAATTTCGGGATGTCGTTTTTTCGAATTTTATTGGATTCTCCTTCAAAGTTGTCTGTTCGACATTTGACTTATGGTAACGATAATATATAGAGTTATGAATTATCATCATATTCATAGGCAACAAAAAGAAAAAAAATTGCTAAGAAGAATATGCTACCATGTTAAGTAGGAACTTTGTGTCATCAATATTGGTCTCTGAGTTCGATAGATTATATTTCTGCCCCATAAGTTCAACATTCTGTACACTACCAAAAAAATCTGTCACCAAAACCTATATTAATTGTATTATGTTATTCAAAAATGAACTGATTGAGTTCTTCACAGCTATTGAGAGACAAAAGAAACCTTATCCAGGGGTCTGCGAAAAAGGTCACTGCGTACTCCAGGCGTTGAGTGTATTAGCGATGGGTCATAAGAATCGAAAAGATCTTGTAAAGTTGATTTACTTTGCATATCTATCTTTTCGAGAAATTCAAGGTTGTAATACGTAAAGCGATCTATAACAGCTACTCCGATATCAGTGTCCATATGATGCTATCGTTATGTCGAGAAATTTCTTGTTTCATAAATATAATCATTTTATTCTTAAAAAGGAATAAAAAAATAACCTACTGAATAAGAATTTTCGCCAAGCTCACTGCTTCCTGTAGCTAAGATGTTTGGAGAGTATATTTGACCATACATAGTATTTGCTTGACAAGTATCGATCATAAACAAGATTTCATGATATCTATAAAAAGGTATGTTAATACATAAAAATCAATAAGAATAAGTTCATTATCATACCCATACCTTCGCTTTTCCCACATTTGTTCAAAAGCATCAGCCAAATCGAAGCTACTGATCTCTTCCGCATCTTGAAATTTCAAGAATTCGTTACCACCATGGCCAGTCATGTATACCAGAATATTTGACCGGTCATCAGATAACAAACGCTTAGATCGAGGTGTATCAGGTTCGACGCGACCTATTAAGTTATTAAATTTTATAAATAGGTTGTTTTAACATAAAATGTAATTAATTTAATACATGCCTGTCAAAACTCTAATAAAATTTTCGACAGTGACCTCATAGCCTCTATAATCGACTTCGACGTTATCTCCATAAAGATCCAGGTATCTTCCTGCATTGTTAAAAACTGTGGCGGGAAACACGTTTCGAGGATTACAAGCAACATCATCCGCAAGCATAAGGACAATGTTTGAATCTGGAATACCGAGCCTCTTCACTGTACGGTACATTGATAATGTATTCGCAATATGACGATAATTGAACCAAAAACGAGAGGTGCATACCTTATAACGAATAAAATATTTGGAAGTTTGGTTGAGTAAAAATACATATATTTTTAATTGGATAATGAGCATACTCAAGAACGCTTGCGTACTTTGATACGCTACCAGTACAGCCCAATTATTGGTGTGTCCACCACGGCTAAAAAAGCCGTCAACAACTGCTTCGTTATTAGTTTCTGCTAAACTAAATTTACATACAAGACATAAACATATTATGATGAAAAAAGAAAGTCTAGACATCGCCTCCAAACCAAAAAATCGAAATTTATTTAAACGTTAGAGTTCAAAAAGCCATGAGATTTTATGTATAATTTTGTCCGTGTAACGTAGATTGCGTGTAACATAGATTGCAATTATTAAGTAGTTAATATATATAAATATATATAAAGTCAGATATATTACCCAGTCGACGTGAAATTTATCTGACACTCATGAGTAGCTTGTTAGGACTTAATTATTATGACGATGACGAAGACGATCAACAAGCCGAGAATGACATGGTTACTGTAGAACAAAGTAATAACATTTTGGGTAAACACTTTTCACCCTCCCCATCAGTTTTCTCTAATCTGATTCGTCGGAGAGGCAACAACACAATATCACAAAAGCCCCGTTATGAAGAATCTACTTCACCAAAAGTTACTGGGAATACACTGCCACCACAATCAGATACAGTTAACTGCCCAGATAAGCAAGAAAAACACATAAGTGATGATAATCCAATAATACCGAATGAACAAATATCGACGGATGATTCTGAAGATGTCAGACAACATTCTGCTATGCGACAATTATTGACACCAAAACCTATTGAGGGAAGAGAAAACTGGGGAATTCCCCCAGAACCTGAAACAGAATGTGATCCAATACTGCAGGTATTTGTATCAAACTCGTGTCTATACATTGTTGACATTATATTGGTTATTGAATGCAAATATTTGCTTTGGAAGGAAAAAATCGATCATTTTCATTCATTAAGCAAAAAAGGAGTACATTTCAACGAAAACCTCTTAAAAAATAAAGCTTTTCGTAATCCACATATATATAATAAATTGGTAGAATTTGTGGAATTGGATGAAATCGGATCAAATTTTGATCGAGAGATATTTGATCCTTATGGATTTCCTTCAGAAGCATTTGCGGATCAACTCGGTAAATTCATGAACGTGAACATTATATTTTCTTTTATTAGAACCTTTGATAATAGATCAGAATATGATATTATCTTATCTTTATTTCAAAGCGGAAGCTCAAAAGAAAATTTTAGAGGAACGTGCCGCAGCACAGCAGCAGCAACGGTCACAGATACAATTTGTAGGATCTAGTCCTGGTAGCCAAAATATATCTAAATCTCGACACGTTATGCAAAGTCTTGCTGCTAGAGCAGAAAGAGGATCTACAACGGCTAATAATACAACGGTTACGAAATCAACAGTCGTTACAAACAGTATCACTACTAGTTCAAAATCATCAAGCAGTACAGGTTCTCCTATGTTTATTATATTTGTTCATATATATTATGTATTGACTAATTTATTATAACTGTAAATTCGTTATATACTTCGCTAAAAAATGGATAGGAAGAAAACGTGCCAGCAAATGGGATGTTCCCGCACCAAATGTAGCACTACCACCATCATCATCGTCAACAACTTCAAGTTCACGGCACAATAGTAATCGTACTAGTAGAGACCGAGAACGAGATCGAGACCGAGAGCGAGATCGAGATGGAAAGCGATCAAGGACTTAATATCTCTATTGTCAATGACTTAAATTATATATATTATTTTTAAGTATTTTTTTTTTTTTAGAAATGTTCGATATTTTACAAAGTTTTTTCCGCAATTATTTTGTCTGACATGGTTTTATTTTTAAATTGATTGCTCTTTATAACTCAAAAACAATTTGTCATTTAAATCTGTAACGATTTGACATAAATTTTAATAAATTCGACTTGTGACTTTTACGGTAAACTCTTTATAGCATTGGATTTTTGCACACAGGATTTTTGTTAGTGATAATATTCGAATATCTGTGCACATTATTCATTAAAAATTCTGAATGAAAAAGTGCAGTGGTTACCAAATATGTTTCATAGAGTTGTTCTCATAACCTCATTTTGTAAAGCTTAAAAGTAAATACCTAGATCCGAATTTAATAATAAGAGTAATTTGACAAATATACAGTCAAGTCAACTTTTACAATTAACACTTTCCTAAATACAGTCACGCTTCAATCTTAAGCCTTAAACAATAAATGACACGATAAACACCATAACTATCATGATTTCATCATTTATAATATAACAGCTGTTATTCTTTGAAGCATATTATCTTTAAAATTGTAAACATTGTTTCATACATATTAAGAAGTTAATAAGAATCGTTTAAATAATGATATAATTGATGAATAAAGTATACTTGATTATGTTGACCTAACTGAAATTGATGATTCAAGTGTCAAAAATAATATAAAAAATGAAAGCAGAAAAATGAATGATAATAAAACTCATGAATTTAAAAGATGTTGGTAAACCAAAATAGTTGAGAGAATTATAAAAACATTTGAAGCTGAGAAATTGATAATAATTAAAACATCTAAAGCTAAGCATTAAAATGTTCAGTTAGAGATTAAAGTATACAAGTAATTAAAATTGTATACAGAAAATGTATGCAATGTCAAAGACATGCTTAAAGGTAAAGGTTCTATTCTTTTTTACTGTTAATTTTCAATTTTTTTTATTTTTCATAATAGATTTGGTCAAATGATAATTCTTTAATTTTTAAAGAACTATTGAGCAAAACATTATTATATTTTTTTAAAAATAAGAAATTTATTAATTTTTTATAAAAATATATAATAAAAATTATTGTTATAAATGAAAGTCTTCTTAATTTTCACATAATAACAATGATATAGTATAGAGAATCCCTTATGGATATATGTGGTGTTCAAGAAGGAAATATAATTTTTGTTAAACATTGTTAAGAAATTATATCCTTCTCTGAGGCAGTTCAGAAAAGATAATGCAATACTAATAACTTTACTTTATTTTATTAAAAGAAGATAAATCTTGTTTATAGAAATTATTCTAGAAAAGAAGTATTAATACAGTTTATAGTTAAAAATTATTTATTAAACTAATAACAGGAAAGACTATTTTTAGGTTTCTGTTTTTAAAGAATTTTAAGATGTATTTACAATATTAAAGAAAAAAGAAATGTTCAGATTTGAAGAATTTAGCAAAGTTTATATATCTGTAAACTAGATAATTAAATAACCAAGTAATTAAGTAACTAAGCAAGTAAGTAACTAAGTATTAAGCAATTAAGCAATTAAGTAATTATATAATTACTAAGTAACTAAAAAGTTCTAGTAACTAATGACTAATGATTATTAAGTAACTAATTACTAAGTGACTAAGCAGTTAAGCAACTAAGTAACTAAATAACTAAGTAACTAAATAATTACTAAGTAATTAAAAAGTTCTAATAACTACTAATAATAATAATATAATAATAAGAATAACTAATACTAAATAATAAAAATAAAATACATTTATTTAAAAAAAAAACTTTTTTTTACTAATCTTAATTTTGTAAAAATGAAAAAATAATATATCAAAGTTTATTTAAAATTTACTCTAAGAAACAGATTCTTTATTACTAAAAAAAAAAGAAAAAAAAAACTCAAAAACAGTAGAAGTTTATTAGAACAACTTTTAAAGAAGCTGCTTATCAAAAACATCAAAAGATTTTTTAAAACTTTTTTAAAACTTTTTGAAAAACTTAAAAAATTAGTTATAATTTTAAAAAACTAATTGATCAACATGTAAACAATTACAAACTAAACAATTATATAAATTAGAGTAAACAAATAGGTAAACAGAGCAATATATGTTCAAGCATGCAACAAATACAAAATGTAACTAGTTAAATAAGGTATTACAAACAAAAGCATATATATTTATTAGATTAGTAATTAGTTTAGAAATTTCTAAAATAAAGTTAAATATAAAGTTAAACAAACAACTAATAATAAAAAATAATAATAATAAAAATTTAAAAATTTGTATAATCTAAACCAAAAAATAATAGTAAAAAAGTATACTTACTTAAATAAACAAAACAAGTATATTGCAAAAATAGATACAAATATAACAAACTTATTAGATGCAAGAGATCTAATACAGATATATATTATAAGAATCTTAATAAACAAATATAAAGAACTATACAGAAATATTATTAAGAAAAAATTACAATAATAGAAGAAAGTGTTTTAATTAACCAAGAAAGAAAAGAAAAAGAAATACAATATGCAATATATAATATATATTAATAAAAAAAAAAGACAAAATATAGAGACAAGAATAAAACTTGAATTATTAATATTATAGCTAATAAGTCAGAAGACTTGTATAAAAAGAAAGAAATTAATAACAAAAAAAGAAACTAATAGATCAAATGAGAAAAAAAATCAACCAACAGAATAACAAAAAATAAATCTTATTAAAACAAAGACAAAATAAAGCTAAAGTACTAATAACATAATTAATAATTTAGAAAACCAGTTTTAAATGAAGATACTTAGAAGAAGAAATAGAAATAATAAACAAAAAAAAGAAGATAGAGCTGATAAACAAGCAAAAGTTTTTCCAAATAAATAAAAAAAGAAATGCTTAAGAATTCAGATAAAGTAAATATTAAAGATAAAGTAGCTCTGTTAATAACAGAGTGTAATATATATGATTTAAAAACAGAAAAGTCAAAGAGACTAATGCTTCTGAGACATAACAACAAAACAAAAAAGAATACAATAATAAAGAAAAAAAAAATTCAGAAAACAGATTTTATGAAGACATCTATGCATTAAAATAAGCATCTAAAGATATAAATAATTCTATATGATCTACTAAAAATGAATCAAAAAACTTTGAATAAAAGAAGATGCTAAAGCAAAAACAAAAACAAATTAAACAAATTAAAACAAAAAATAGTTTAATAGTAATGTTAACAATTTAGGACTTATTAAAAAATGCAAAATAAAAAAAAGTTATATATTGTTTAAGTTTTTATAAAAAAACAAGAATACTTAAATAGAAAATTCTAAAAAAAACAAAGGCAGCATTAGTACAAATTACAAGTTAGAATTAGCAAAAACTAAATTCTTTAATATCAAGCTAATCAGTATATTTTAAAAAAGAATCAATGTGTAGAATTATACTAAGAAGATTTAATTCTAAAATACTTGAAAAAAAAACATAAGGCAGTATTATAAGATATTCCAAAATCAGCTTTAGAATTAACTTTATTAAGACAACTAAAACTGTTAAAAGTTAAGATATTATTTATATCAAATAATAGTAATAATAACAAAAAAATTATAGTCTTTGCATATTTTGAATCTAAAGAAAATTGTCAGAAAGTGCAAAAAAAAAGTACTTTTTATTACTATAACAAGTTGTCTTAATATGAAAAAAAACAAGACTAAAAAAAGAAGTAAAGCTAAATAAATAAATCAAAAAAATACAAAGAAGTATTGTAATAAAAAACAAAAAAAAAAGATCAAGCTTTTAAAATATCTATAACTTTGAATATGAGAGACCAAAGTCAATTAAATCTGAAGTATATACAAAGAAGAAAACAAAACAAAAAGAAGAAACAAGAAGCAGTACAAAGCAAAAAGAAGAAACATTAATCATATAATAAATTAAAAAACATTAAAATATATTACAAGAAATACCAAAAAAGCTTAACAGTTTAAATAATAAGTAAGTAAATTCTGTCTATAGTTTCTAAAAAGCATCTTAATTAAATCAAAAAACCCAAATACAGAAAGAATAGATGTTTTAAAAATATTGGAAAATAGTAAAAAAGTTCTCTTTAATTAAGAATTAATATACAAAGAAGTATTACTAATAGAGTCAATTAGAAAAAACAACTTGGAACTAAACATTGCATATTATAATATTAATAAAATAAAAAGTAATAATTACAAAATAGAATTAATATATAAATAGGTTTTTGAAATAAGATTAATATATTATATTTGGCAGAAACAAATATTAGTAAAAAAAAAAGTTTTTTTATCTTAAAAGATCTAAACAAATATAAAAATTTCTGGTTATATTCAAATATATTAAAAAAAAAAGACTCAAGAGTTGGAATATTAGTAAAAAAAAAATAAGAAAAACACTTTAAATAAATAGATAGAATTAATAAATATATGATAGTAGCAAACTTTATATTTAAGCAACTAAAACTCATAATTATAATGATATATATACTGTTTAATAACAAAAAAAAACATATTATATACAATAGTAATTTACTTGTCTATATTTATTTCCACCTATTCAATTACAAATATGACCAGGCTGCTCTCTTAACTCTTATACAATTACTAATAAATATATAATCAATATTTCTATCAACCTTACTTTTAGATTTTTTGGTCAAGTTAATACATATAACAAAACTCTCAACTTCAATGCCAATCACCTCAATTTTATATACTCTATTGCAATTTGATATCCTATTCAAATTTTTTACCTCTCTAATATCAACATTACAATATGCTTAATTCTAACTATATTTGAATTTGGCATTCTAACAAACAATTTTTAACAAATTGCTAACTACAATGCACAATTATTAGAACTTTATTTTTATACTGATGGCTCAGTCATCAATCTGAGTACTTCATAATACTTTATAAGTATCAAATAGGCCCAAATTCTAAACAATAATATATTATATACATTTTATGCCCAAACAAGATACTGGTTTTGCTCATTTAAGTTTGAGCTTATTGCTATTTTATTAGCTCTTATTACTGTTTTGAGAAACTGTACTA